GAGAGAGAGAGAGAGAGAGAGAGAGAGAGAGAGAGAGAGAGAGAGAGAGGTGGGGAGGAAGGGAGAGGGAGAGAGGAAGGAAGAGAGAAACTAATTATTGAAGGAAGTCATGAGGAGTTTGGTGTGTGTGCACTGGCTGAATGGCAAAATGTATGAGGATGTCTGTTTTTTCCTGGTTCGCCTGTGGCATGCCCCATCTAGATCTGCGTTGACCGTGCTGATTCTTTTTTTTTCATGGCTCATGGCAGCTGGACAAGAGCGGTTCCGTACTCTGACAAGTTCTTATTACAGGGGTGCGCAGGGGATCATCCTGAGTGAGTTCACTTGTGTCCCGTATCCTTCCCTCTCGCTCTATCTGAAGGTTTATGACAAAGCCCACTCACCACAATCGTGTCCCCTCCCCTTGCTGAAAACAGAACAAATGTGAATGCAAGCACGAATGCACGTAGAGAAACAAAGAGCAATGATCCCAAAGGAAAATAATACTGAATCCGCTACCTACGCGAATACAACCACCCAAGCCCACCAACGTCCACCTTTTGAATACATCAGCACAAAGGCTAGCGGAGATACATTGGCATTGGTGCGCTCCTTTTGGGGGTTGGACATGGGGAGTTCTCCTAGGCTCAGTGGATTTGTGACTGGGTTAAGAAAGTTGGAACTGATCAAGAAAGTTTTGGCGTCATGCAGATCATGTCCTGTTGGTGGTTGAAGTAGCTGAATTTGCCATGGGGACAGCACAGAACGTGTGAAAGAACATATTTGTCAAATGACCTGCGGATTTCAGTCTGACAAGCCTGAACCTTTTTACTGTGTTTCAGCTGAGAAATGATGTAAATACTAAATTGTGTGTCTTCACTCACTGAGAAGCCTGCGTCTTCCATAGTTTTGTCTGCAATAATTCCCTTGTCTGCGGCTTGTTGACGTTTTCGGAGCCTTGTTGATGTATGCGGCTACCAACCTTGTATTCGCATGTTCTGAGCTTGGACGCAGTACGTGCAAAAGTTGAGAACTTTGGGGCTAAGGATCGAAATTTGGTCCAGCGCTGGACCTGCGAACAGCAAAGGTTTTAATCTACGGAGTTGTAATCTGGACAGTACAGGGACATCCAGGTAGATTAGAAGGGTCCAGTAAGAGTCTCCACTAAAAAACACGTGTTAAACCACAAGTACACCCGGGCCTGCTTACTGCGCGCCAAGCTTTTCCGAACCGACAGTGGCGCACTTTTTCCCTTTTTTGGCTGGCACAGCCACCCATCGTGGGCCGGGGTAGGCCGAGCCCCCAAAGTTTTTCTTAGGCTACGAGTTTCTTTTTCAGCAAGGCTGGGGCCGTGTACGGGCGGTTTAAGACTGAATTGGTGGGCCCTGGTTCAAATGCTGGACCAATTCTGGGCATGTTAGTGGTAGCACATGCCTGGAAGACCTGTGTAGTTTCCAGACAGAGCTGAGGAGACATCATTTTCCCGCCAAATGCAGCAGCGGTGGGCAGCCCTGCAAGGAGGCTGGTAGCGGGGCTTCCAAGGCCAGTTAGCTACCCTGCCAAGATTTGGCCCGAAGTATGATGCCGCTGTGTGTTGGCCTCGTGGTGCTGCCATTGTGCTGGCTTCTGATATCAGTGGATGCCGGTGCTGGACAGAGGCGCCCTGAAGAGGAGCTGGGAAGCTCCTTGCTATTGGGAATAACCTCCCTGGCTATGGCGCTTCCCTCTCAGTCATACAGGGAACTTGGCAGACATGGCACTGAAGTTTGTCATGCTCGGACTGTGGTTTTGGTCCATTGTAAGGCACCTGCAAGACCCTAAAAACCAAGTCAGTAGTTTGGCGAGCAATGCACGTCAGCAAAGCGTTATTTTGGAAATACTTTCGAGTGTTCACACCAGGTCTTCATCCTATTGATTGGCAATTCATTGCTGAGAAGTGTCACAGACCTCCGAAGGCGTCAGTTTTGGGTGGATTTCAGTGGTGTTAGACGTCCAGGATAGGAGGAAGGAGGGGGGTTGCTGGGAGACGGAGTGTTAATGGTATTCTCGAGTGAAACCGATGCTGCGAAGGAGAACTGGCCTTTGTTGTCAATTTTCTGTTTTGATCTTGTCATTTGCTCTTTCATTGTTCAATTGATAATGTAGGAGGAAGTTGACACAAGGGGAAGGGGAGGGGCGAGTAGGGAGGAGGAGAAAATGCTTAGCATTGTGTTTATAATACTTACTTTATAATAAGTTTATATTCAGATTTTCTGCGTTGAACTGTTCTCTCTGTGTCCATCTTCTCCGTCAAAAGTCTATGTCGGTCAATGTGATGCTGCCTGTCTATTTTTGTTGCATGGTCTCCATCTTCTTTGTCAAAGCTCTTATGTTGCATCGTCTCTATCTTGTCTGTCAAAAGTCTATGTCGCATCTTTTCAATTTCCTCGTTAGTGAAATGGTTAACATTTTCAATGATTCTTTCTCTTTTGCACTTTTAGTTATGATCACATTGACATCAATGTGGTCTGGCTCCTACATACCACCAACTTCTTTCTTAACAAACCTTTTCTTTTTGGAAAAAAAAAAAAAAAAGAATATCCAGACAAGTTAGAAGAAATGTTGAAAAAAAAAATAAAAAAATGTTGACGGGTATTGTGCCTGTCTATTGCATTGGTCTGTGTCATCTCACGCTCAGCGTACGATGTTACAAGAAGGGACACATTCACAAACTTGGCTGATGTGTGGCTGAAGGAGGTGGAGAGGTACTCCACTAATCCTGACTGCGTGAAGATGCTTGTTGGGAACAAGATCGACAAGGTTGGTTTCCTCTACTACTTGTTTATGCACCTACTCCTGTGGATGGACGAGTATGTTGTTTTGCTTGTTTATCATTCTGGGGTTTGCATCTTGTTGAACGTTTGAATGTTATCCCGTGTTGGAAGGGCCAGGAAGGCGCTGAGCAACTTCAAGCTGTGTGAACAACGCATTTTGCTAAACGAGGGTGAAAAGGTCTCTATGTGTGTGTTTGTCTGCATTGCACTGCACATGAAAAAGTGTTTGATAACTTTGATTGCTTCTTTTCGACCCCGTCGAGAAAGGGGAGTGTTTTGCATGTCAGAGTGAAGTCCCATCATCCACAATGTATCATATAGAGTGTGGTCTGCAACACATGCTAAGCCTCTGGCCCGGACTCTTGGCTCCACAACCGATAGGGAGGGAGGAGTTGTGTAGGCCTGAAGGTGTATCTTCTTCTCCCAAGCGTTGTGCTCCTTCATAACGAATGTATACCAGCTGTCTATTCCTCTTCAATAGAGTCATGACGGCGGGGCATTATCGTCGGCGGGAAGAGCGGAGCACAGGTTTTCCCAGTTTGTGTCTTTTTCAATAGGCTGGACTGTATCTGGGAGCTTCTCATGACTTCGAACTTTCGTCAGCAGCCTCATGCACTCGCTTGTCGGCAATTTGAAGGAGATACCGCTTCTGCTAAATTGAAGTGGCAGATTTGATTTCATCCCCCCCGACTTCACACCAAGAGCCAGCCTGTGTTTCATATAGTACTTTTCGACCTCATACTCTCTCTCTCTCTCTCTCTCTCTCTCTCTCTCTCTCTCTCTCTCTCTCTCTCTCTCTCTCTCTCTCTCTCTCTCTCTCTCT